AAATAAATAAATAAATAAATAAATAAATAAATAAATAAATAAATAAAGTAGACACCTTAACAAGAACTTTGGAGAAAAAAAAAAATAGACACCTAAGAGAATTCAGTTTGAAAATCACTACCTTGGCCAGGTACAGTGGTACACACCTGTAATTCCAGCACTTTGGGAGGATGAGGCAGAAGAATCTCTTGAGCTCAGGAGGTCGAGACCAGCCTGGGCAACACAGCATGACTCTGTCTATACAAAAAATTTAATTCAGGCATGAGGCTTGTGCCTGTAGTCCCAGCTACTCAGGAGGCTGAGGTGGGAGGATTGCTTGAGCCCTGGAGTTCAAGGCTACAGTAAGCCATGATTGCTTCACTGTACTCCAGCCTGGGCAGTGGAGCAAGACCCCACTATATATACATATAATTACATCTATCTTGCTGCTGCTTTCACTCATAATTGATTAAAAGGGTTAGCCTCCCCATTTGAAAAAAGGACATGACTTCTGGTTCTGGCCAAGAAAGAGTAGTCCCATTGCTCCTAGGTCCTTCCATTTACAACTGAAAAGTCGTGGACACAGCAAGCATAGGAAGACTCGGAATGACAGAAAGAAGGTGGTGGACCACCTAAGGACCTCAGGATTTAAAGAACAACACAGCAATGAGTTCCTGGATTTCTTTATTGCCTCCCACATATCCTGGACAGGACATTGCAGAAGCCTCCAACACGAAACTGCTAACAGGAACAGAGTTAAAAAACAAAACAAAACAAAACTCCCAGTAAAGTCTGTTGCCCCTAGCACAAAGACTGAGAAGGACATAGCTCACAAAATAGAAATCTCTTGGCAACATCCACCCTATACAAGTAGACACCAACAGAAAAACTGTTACTCCCCCTCCCCCATGGTTTCAGTGGGGCTGAACAGGAGGTGATCGTCTACCCTGCTCCCATGGAAGCAGGCAGCAGCACTCCCATTCCCCTACCCAGTGGGGCTGACCAGGCTAAGTAGGGTACTGTCATCAGGATCCAGCAGTGAGCTCAGCTTCCATCCCCGTCTGGCACTGACAGGCACAAAGAGGTGCCCTGAGGTGCCCACAACCCCTTCCCAGGTGTCAGTCAGCAGGGAACCAAGCTTGTAACGCCACTAGGAGGCAATGAGGTGATGCAAGTCAGGTGGTGCAATTGTGTCCTACTTTCACCAAGAAGGTGACACAGGACCAAGGGGGAAGCTGAACTTCCACCTCCCCTGTCTACAATGTGAGGCAGTATAAGTCAGTGCTCCACTTTTGCCAGGGTAGTGTCAGGGGAGCCCAGTAGGAGGCTGAACATTCTTATCTACCCAGCCCTCATACCACACCTCAACAGGGAATTGCCTGCCAAAAAAGATGATAGAATTAAGATCGAGTGTTATAATGTCCAAAATGTCTATTAGTTTTACAGTTTTTGAAGCCCTTTATTATCTATAATATGAATATTTGGTCCCTAGCTTCGGGAATACACAGCACAAAAAAATAGAGTTAATTATAGACATAAAGACTTACAATGGGGCCGGGCGCGGTGGCTCAAGCCTGTAATCCCAGCACTTTGGGAGGCCGAGACGGGCGGATCACAAGGTCAGGAGATCGAGACCATCCTGGCTAACACGGTGAAACCCCGTCTCTACTAAAAAAATACAAAAAATTAGGCGGGCACCTGTAGTCCCAGCTACTCCGGAGGCTGAGGCAGCGTAAACCCGGGAGGCGGAGCTTGCAGTGAGCTGAGATCCGGCCACTGCACTCCAGCCGGGGCGACAGAGCGAGTCTCCGTCTCAAAAAAAAAAAAAAGACTTACAATGGAAAAAAAAGAGAAAAAAATACACAAACAGAATATATCTGGAAAAAAAAAAGACTGACAATACAATGGCACAGGTGTAAAAACACAGAGTTGTATAGGGTAGAGAGGTAGTGCAACCCTATGGTGATCCAGGCAGGGCTAGTATTTGTTTTATTAAAACTCATTTAACGATGCTTAGTATAGGTGCCCAACAAATTAAGAGTACCTGACCAAAGGTCACATAGCTAATTAGTGGTCTTTAGCATACTTTCATTCCTCTTAAAATGAAATGACTTCAGATACACAAACCTTGACAAAAACTCTACAGCAACTCAGCGTAACGTACAAGTGCCAATCCAATGTGATTAACCATGTCTCTCAATTCTCACTGGAAATTTCACTTTGTTTAGAAAAAGATGAGTTTATGGAAAATGCCACAGCTTTAAAAAGTAGCCAATTTAGGGTCTGTGTGGGAAAATATGATTAAAAGTAACTCAGGTGGGACCTAATAACTATAGTGTAACTTTTCAAATAGATGCAGTTTAAAATAAAAACTAAATCCAGGCCAGGTACAGTGGCTCAAGACTGTAACCCCAGCACTTTGGGAGTCCGAGGCAGGCAGATCACTCGAGGCCAGGAGTTTAAGACCAGCCTAACCAACATAGCGAAACTCTGTCTATACTAAAATACAAAAATTAGCAGGGTGTGGTGGCAGGCGCCTGTAATTCCAGCTACTTGGGAGGCTGAGGCACAAGAATCACTTGAACCTGGGAGGCAGAAGTTGAAGTGAGCTGAGATGGCGCCACTACACTCCAGCCTAGGTAACAGAGGGAGTCTCAAAAAAAAAAAAAAAAAAGAAAACGAAATTCAATTTATACAGCTGACAACAGTTGTTAGGTAAATGTAATTCTCACAGCTATATACCCACTAGATAAAGTCTACTAGAGAAAAGATTTTTCAGTCTTCCTCTCAAAAACAGATCTATCGAGCCCATATGGTTTGCTGCCATCTTGTTTCTTATTTTGCAATTGGTCACCAAAGTATTTTGAGTTTGGACAATCTACCTTTCTATTTTAACTCCATAATACATTCAGCAAAAATCTAATTAGAAAATATCTTAGAGCTTTTAAGAATCCTAAGGAATCATCATAAGGAAGGTCTTTCAGGTCTTATTAAGCAATCAAAGATCTCTTTATGTCTCTACGGGAAGTTCCAACCGCTATTTCAAAATGCTACTGAGTTCCACGGAAGTGATACATGCTTTTGGAAAAAAACAATTCTGAAAAGTATGTATTCAAGGCACAGCTGCTATAGCTGTGGCTAGAAAGCTGACTACATTATTAATTGTGTATAAATTTCAAGTAATATTCAGCAAAGAGTTGCAATCTAGATAGTTTTCCTTTTCTATAAAAGCAAAGTGAAAAATTATCACCCTCTCTTTAGTAAAATGTCACTCACAATATAACAGCATCTGGTGTGGGTCTCTTAACACTTACATGACAAGAATAAAGAAAACAGGACCCTGGGGAAGTGGGAACCTATGAAGAATGACTTTAGAAAGAAGCTACGAAAGTAGCAATTTTGGCTAGGCATGGTGGCTCACGCCTATAATCGCAATACTTTGGGAGGCCAATGAGGGAGGATCACGAGGTCAGGAGTTCGAGACCAGCCTTGCCAATATGGTGAAACCCAGTTTCTTCTAAAAATACAAAAATTAGCAGGGCATGGTGGTGTGCACCTGTAGTCCCAACTACTCGGGAAGCTGAGGCAGAAGAATCACTTGAACCCAGGAGGCGGAGGTTGCACTGAGCCGAGATCATGCCACTGCACACCAGCCTGGGTGACAGAGTGAGATTCTGTCTCAAAAAAAAAAAAAAAGAAAGTAGCAATTTCAAGAATGCCTTTCTAAGAGAAGCAGCCACAGCTAAGACTTACCAGAAGCTGCAAAAAGTTTTACTGTTATTTTTGTTTTGTTTTGTTGAGATGGGGTCTCACTATGTTGCCCAGGCTAGAGTGCCATTGCTATTCACAGGCACACTGCAGCCCTGAACTCCTGGCCTCAAAAGATCTGTCTACCTTAGCCTCCCAAATAGCTGGGATTACAGGCATGCACCACTGCACCCAGCTGGAAAAGGCTTTAGATATCAAACCAAATAGATACAAGTCTTCACCATATAAACCAGAACACAGACGCATTTGCCTTCAAGAAAAGATTCATTGGTCGGGCGTGGTGGCTCAAGCCTGTAATCCCAGCACTTTGGGAGGCCGAGACGGGCGGATCACGAGGTCAGGAGATCGAGACTATCCTGGCTAACACGTGAAACCCCATCTCTACTAAAAGATACAAAAAAAAAAAACTAGCCGGGCGAGGTGGCGGGCGCCTGTAGTCCCAGCTACACGGGAGGCTGAGGCAGGAGAATGGCGTAAACCTGGGAGACGGAGCTTGCAGTGAGCTGAGATCTGGCCACTGCACTCCAGCCTGGGCAACAGAGCGAGACTTCGTCTCAAAAAAAAAAAAAAAAAAAAAAAAAAAGAAAAGAAAAGATTCAGCAGAATCACATAAAAGCATCCCAGCCAAAGTCTGGAAATACGAATAACATTAGAAGAAACTATTCCTGAAATAAGTATTTGTAAGAAATAAAGCAAATTTCATATTCCCAGGTGTATATTCTTAACAAGTTTATTAAAATTATTTAGTTTCTCTATATCACTGATACTAAGCTATTCTAATGTTGCTAGAGAGCAATATACATACATGTGTATATGGGAAAATTAATGGCTATGACTCAGATCTCTGAAAAAAAAAATAAGCCTTGAAGCACCTCCTATTACTTGGAGGCAGCATAGCCAATTTCTAAGAAAGTATTTAAGACTTGGAAAATAATGGCCCAACTGCTGAAACTGCAACTTGGTTTCTTAAAATTATTCTATAAATATAAGCATTTCCACTACCATTATGAGAAAAAAACCTAAGCCAACTAGTTAACTAAAATGGAGTTTAATTTGGTCTCAACGTTTCACTGATTATGAAAGATGAAATGCTTATTATAAAAAATTAGGATTATAAATGTATATTCCCAAATTTCACAACCTTACTTAAATGGCCTGGGCAATTTAACTTCAAACTGATTAAACTGCATTTTAGAGTTACTTATTGAACTCATATATTACTAACACAAAACTACTTTTAGTCTACCTTTCCATTTGAAAAATTCAGCATACACACAGAAACCTTACCTCTGCTTGTTAATTAAGTAGAGAACACAATAATCCTTTAGTTATATACATTTAAATACACACACACAGTATTGGGGCACCAATTTATGTATATATACTTTTTTTTTTTTTTTGAGACGGAGTCTCACTCTGTTGCCCAGGCTGGAATGAAGTGGTGCGATCTTGGCGCAATGCAACCTCCGCCTCCCAGGTTCAAGCGATTCTCCTGCCTCAGCTTTCCAAGTAGCTGGGATTACAGGCGCATACCACTACACCTGGCTAATTTTTGTATTTTTTGTAGAGACCGGGTTTTCTCATGTTTGCCAGGTTGGTTTCAAACTGCTGACCTCAGGCGATCCGCCCACCTCGGCCTCCCAAAGTGCTGGGATTACAGGGTGAGACACCGCACCCGGCCATTTCTGTTTTTTTAATATGGCTCATGGCTCTGGATAATAAAATGCTTCAAAATCTCATAACTCAAGAGAATTTTTTTTTTTTTTTTTGAGACAGAGTTTCACTCGTTGGCCAGGCTGGAGTGCAATGGCATGATCTCAGCTCACTGAAACCTCTGCCTCCTGAGTTCAAGCGATTCTCTCACCTCAGACCCCTGAGTAGCTGGGATTACAGGCACCAGCCACCGCACACGGCTAATTTTTATATTTTTAGTAGAGATGGGGTTTCACCATGTTGGCGAGGCTGGTCTTGAACTCCTGACCTCAGATGATCCACCTGCCTCTGTCTCCAAAAGTGCTGGGATTACAGGCATAAGCTACTATGCCCGGACCAAGATTTTTTTTTTTTTTTTGAGACGGAGTCTTGCTGTGTCACCCAGGCTGGAGTGCAGTGGCGCGATCTCAGCTCATTGCAAGCTCCACCTCCCGGATTCACGCCATTCTCCTGCCTCAGCCTTCCGAACAGCTGGGACTACAGGCGTCCGCCACCAAGCCCAGCTAATTTTTTGTATTTTTAGTAGAGACGGGGTTTCCCCATGTTGGCCAGGATGGTCTCGATCTCCTGACCTTGTGATCCGCCCGCCTTGGCCTCTCAAAGTGCTGAGATTACAGGCGTGAGCCACCGTGCCTGGCCAGATTTTTTTTTTTTAAGTCACACAAAGCAACTTGGAAGTCATTTGGTTGGAGATAGTGACAATCACTCAATCTATAGGTTGCTAAGCTATCAGATCTAGCTATATATATGTTGTTAAACTATCAGAGATCTATCTTGATTTTTGCCATGCTGTGGAAGAATGGGCAACCCCAAATCTGGGGCTACTTTATCCAAATAACTGGAAAGGAGCTTTCATGACCTGATAGAGGTTAGCCTGGATCTGACTTCATGTCATTTCTTCTAAAATATATCATCCTGTTCAATCTACTAAAAACTCCCCTCTCAAGAAAAAAGTCAGGGCTGTTATACTCTGCAGAAGGCACTACTCTACCCCAGGACTTTCTCACAAGGCTAAAAGAATGGAACAAGTATGCGAATAAAAGCTTAAATCTAAATTGATTTAACATTCTAGGCTGGGCGTGGTGACTCACGCCTGTAATCCCAGCACTTTGGGAGACTGAGGCGGGCAGATCACAAGGTCAGGAGTTTGAGACCAGCCTGGCCAATATGGTGAAACCCAGTCTCTACTAAAAATACAAAAAAAAATTAGCCAGGTGTGGTGGCGCATGCCTGTAATCCCAGCTACTCGGGAGGCTGAGGCAGGAGAACTGCTTGAACCTGGGAGACAGAGGTTGCAGTGAGCCAAGATCGCACCACTGCACCCCAGCCTGGGAGAGAGAGTGAGACTCGGTCTCAAAACAAACAAACAAACAAACAAACATTCTACTATTTACTCTAAGCTAAGGGTCACATACATATTCTCAGGGAGAATTAAAGAAAGTTGGGAGACTTAGAATTCTGTAGAGGGAACAATAATTGCAGTGATCCAAAGGTATTTAGAAACTGGGTGTGCACTGATGTTGAATATGCATCTTGTTAACTAAGTTCAACGTGCAGAGTCATGACTTGTTCCACTGAAATGTTTTCCTGTGCCCCACACCTTCAAAGTGATGGCCAGATCTGAGGTGAAGCTTGCACTGTTCCTCTAGACTCCTTTGGCTCCTGGACTCCCCAGATTTGTAGGCCATTCTGACTTCTTAAATCTCTCAGTTCTTCAGGAGGTGATGAGTTCTTCAGTAATGTGAGGAAGGCTCTGAATATTGTTTTTATTCCCTCTCAACGTACCCATTTTCTTACGTCACAGAAGTAAACCATTTATGTACTTAGGTTAATGTGTGTGTTTGCTAAAACATCAGCATGTAATCTGGCAAAATGTTTTTAATAAAGAAATATCAAAACTTAAAACTTGGGCCAGGTGCAGTGGCTATCTGTAATCCCAGCACTTTGGGAGGCCAACGTAGGCAGATCACTTGTGGCCAGTTTAAGACCAGCCTGGCCAACACAGCGAAACCCCATCTCTACTAAAAAATACAAAAATTAGTTGTATGTTGTGGTGCACGCCTATGATCCCAGCTACTTGAGAGACTGAGGCACAATGATCGCATGAGCCTGGGATGGGGAGGTTGCAGTGAGTCAAGCTGGCATCACTGCACTCCAGACTGGGCAACAAGCGAAACTCTGTCTAAAAAATAGGCAAGGCGCGGTGGCTCATGTCTGTAATCCCAGGACTTTGGGAGGCCGAGGCAGGTGGATCACCCTGAGGTCAAGAGTTTGAGACCAGCCTGACCAATATGGTGAAACCCCATCTCTACTAAAAATACAAAAATTAGGCCGGGCGCGGTGGCTCAAGCCTGTAATCCCAGCACTTTGGGAGGCCGAGACGGGCGGATCACGAGGTCAGGAGATCGAGACCATCCTGGCTAACACGGTGAAACCCCGTCTCTACTAAAAATACAAAAAACTAGCCAGGCGAGGTGGCGGGCGCCTGTAGTCCCAGCTACTCCGGAGGCTGAGGCAGGAGAATGGCGTGAACCCGGGAGGCGGAGCTTGCAGTGAGCTGAGATCCGGCCACTGCACTCCAGCCCGGGCTACAGAGCAAGACTCCGTCTCAAAAAAAAAAAAAAAAAAAATACAAAAATTAGCAGGTGTGGTGATGTGCACCTGTAGTCCCAGCTACTTGGGAAGCAGAGGTTACACCGAGCTGAGATCATGCCACTGAACTCCGGCCTATGCAACAGAGCAAACTCTAAAAAAAAAAAAAAAGCTTAAAACTTGATCTCCACACACAAGTTACAATGTACGGAGGTTCACAAAGACAGAGTTAAAAATCCCATAAGTTGAAGGCAATACAAATTAATTCCCAAATTAGTGGTACACACAATATGTATTATGGTTCCAGAAGAAGGATCAAGGAATTATTTGGGGATATTATCACATATTTTTAAAATATTCAAACTTGTAAAATAGGAATAGCATACTTATCTCCTTTTCAATATTCCAATTAAGGATAAAATATGCCTAAATTATATTTTTTCCCCACAAAAGTCAGTTACAAAGGGAAGATGTTCCCACTCTATCTCTATAATCTGATATTAACTGGTTATAAGGCTAATCCATTTTTAAAACATGAACTGTAATTTAAATCTATGGGAATCATCAAGCTCTATCTATAATGTCTGATGATGCAGCCATTAGCTACCCAGCTTTTACTGTTCTCTCAGCCAAAAGACTAATATGAGAAAATGTAGGCACACCTCCTTCTCTCTCACTCTCTCTATTTCCCAACACACAAGTATTTGATTTCCTGGAGAGGATTTTTTTTTTTTTTTTAATCAATTGTAGAAAACAACTGATAAAGCTGGGATTATAGGCATGCACCATTGCACCCAGCTGGAAAAGGCTTTAGGTATCAAACCAACTCTGTAAGACAGTTCAAGATAGCAATAAAAAGATTGTGTGGCAAAGGAATTTCTGGTCCTTAGGGAAATGGCAGCTCATCTAAATGCCCAGCTGGATGGATTGTGCATTCGTGAATAACTAGTTTCTGTTTCTACCTTTTCAGTGATTCATTTCTGGGTATCATTAGAGAAGCCTTCTGGAGAAACCACACTTCATACCTCCTTTGTGACCTTTGAAGGTCACCACGCAGCTAGCATCTTCAGCGGACCATATCTTCAGCTGGGCATCCATTCCCCCACTCAGGACCACAAGGCCTGATGGGAAAAACCTGCAACAATTCACATCAAACACATGTCCTTCCAATACTCTCTGGAAAAACAAAAGAAAATTCCATGCTAGTTCTCTTGTCCATCCCTTGATGTTCTCTTACCTCCCATACTCTGGTTCCTTATGTGAAATACCTACATGCTAAACCCACATGCTAGGTTTTAAAACTAAGGATATCCAAAGGATCTCTTAGCTCATTTGTCTAGTAGGCAGTGTTGGCTCTCTTTCCTGGAATTCAGCTATAGAGGTTATAGAATTGAATTCCATGTAAAAACACCCCAGAGCCTAGGTTAAAAAAAAAAAAAAAATCCATGGCTCTCACAGCTATCTCTAGGTCTAGTTCTAAGAATAAAGAGCTGAGGTGGCTTGGGGACCCTTTTACTCATCTCTGTTTAAAATCCTATTCTGTCTTGGAAACGGATCACTGAAGGCAATTAAAAAACAAGGGCACACCCACTTAGACCTTTACTGGTCTGGCTCCTTAACTGCTCCAGCCCCACTCTGTTCTGCCAAATCACTGAGCTTGAGAATGGTTCTCCAATTAACAAATGGGAGGCCAGGAGCGGTGGCTCACACCTGTAATTCCAGTACTTTGGGAGGCCAAGGCGGGCAGATCACTTGAGGTGAGGAGTTGGAGACCAGCCTGGCCAACATGGTGAAAGCCCATCTCTACTAAAAATACAAAAATTAGATGTGTACGGTGGCACATGCCTGTAATCCCAGCTACTTGGGAGGCTGAGGCACAAGAATCGCTTGAACCCAGGAGGCAGCACTGCACTCCAGCCTGGGCAACAGAGCAAGACTGTCTCAAAAAAAGGGAAAGAAAAGAAACAACAAAAAACACAAAAATGGAAGAAAAGAGATCAACTGACATGCAGAGTGGTCCCACATTTTTAGAACGGGCCATTCTTCCTTCCATGTCCCAGTCCAAGGCTTCTCAGACCACCCTTTGTGTTTAAGACCCTAAAAGCATATCCAAATCCTTTACCCTGAGTTCTCCATTGGAAGCCTGCCAGATTTTCATGGTCCCATCAGTACTAGAAGACACACCAAGACCTCCTCCACTGGAAATGTCCAAGCATGTTATCTGTTCAAAGAGAAAACAATGTGTTAGAAATAATGAAATACTCGTATTCCCTTGAAATATGTTATAAACTTCCCTTGTTTCACTCTTCCAAGACTTTCTGAAGCCTATGTTGCCCAAAAAAAAGTACTTCTGTTTGATGTAAAGGTTGAGTTATCATCACCAACCTCCCAACAAGGCTGAAGTAAACACCTTTTACTTCTTCAAACAAAAAGATATTCCTCTATTCATCTAATGCTTCAGCTAAAAAGTTTTCCCTATCCCCATTTCATTTCCATAGTTTCCATGTGTTGCATTTATTTATTTGTTTGTTTGACAGAGTTTCACTCCCATCACCCAGGCGGGAGTGCAATGCCCCTATCTCAGCTCACTGCAACCTCTGCCTCCCAGGCTCAAACGATTCTCCTGCCTCAGCCTCCCGAGTAGTTGGAACTACAGGTGCACACCAATGCGCCTGACTAATTTTTGTATTTTTTTATAGAGATGGGGTTTCGCCATGTTGCCCAAGTTAGTCTCAAACTCCTGAGCTCAAGTGATTCTCCCATCTCAGCCTCCCAGAGTGCTGAGATTATAGGCACGAGCCACTATGCCCAGCCCTGCTATTTTATTTTAAAATTAAGACCAAGTGGAGTGGCTCACATCTGTGTAATCCCAACACTCTGGGAGGCCAAGGCAGGAGGACCACTTGAGCCCAGGAGTTTGAGACCAGCCTGGGCAATATAATGAGACTCCGTCTCTACAAAAAATTTTAAAGTAAATATAAAAAATAAAAAGAAAATTAAGATACCTCTCCTAATTCTTAGGAACCCAGTTACACAAAAGATAATGTTCTAAGATGCAAAAGGAGGATTCAAGAGCACAGGTATTTCCACATATACCTATATATAGGTATAGCTATAGAAAATATACAGATATAGACCTTTCAGAATAAAGAATAGAGAAATATCAGATTCACTTTTTGTTTTCCAAATTCACTTTTATAGTTTCTTTTTCTTTTTCTTTTTTTTAAGACAGGGTCTCACTCTGTTGCTCAGGCTGAAGTGCAGTGGCGTGATTACAACTCACTACAGTCTCAACCTCTTAGGAACAAGTGATCCTCCTACCTCAGCTTCCCAAGCAGCTGAGATTACAAACATGGGCTGGCATGTCCAGCTAATTTTTTAATTTTTTTTTTTTTTTGGAGAGATGGGGTCCCCCTATGTTGCCCAGGCTGATCTTGAACTCCTGGGCTCAAGCTATCCTTCTGCCTCGGCCTCCCAAAGTGCTAGGATCACAGGCGTGAGCCACCACATCTAGCCTCACTTTTGTAATTTCAGTATCAGCAATCACTTCATGCATAAACCATTATCAGAATAACAAATCTTTTATATACGTACAAAGCTGTACTCTTTTATTAAAAAACAACCAGCTGCAAATGCTCCAGAAATGTGGGACCAAGATATGCAATTCCAGACATATTCCCAGCAACAATAATTCCCACATAAGTTATTAAGAAAAAAGTAGGGACTTTGGCTTTAATTATCCAACTTTCCATTTTACTTTATTCTATACCAATTAAACAATAATTAATAAATTTGGGAAGAACTATAGGGATATATCCATCAACTCTAACATTTTCTAAGACTTTTCTTCTTTATTTTGCTTCCTCGTTATAAAAGAACGGCTAATTTAGTAGTGGATCCTTTACTGGTAAGCAACATACTTCAGGTTCTGTCCTGATACAGGTGGCATCTATTCAATTGCTTGCTGGTAGGCAGTGGACACCAAGGCTAGACTGTACACCTCAAAATGAACATGTCCAAAGAGAACTTTTATTTCCCCTGCCCCATCCCAATACAGCTGCTCCTCCTCCAATTAGTAAATGGAACACAATTTACCTACTTCTCAGGCCAAAATTTTTTGAATCATCCCAACTCCTCATTTTCTCTCATACCTAACATCCAAGTCATCAGCAAAACATGTCTGGTCCCACACCCCTAAAATGTAAGCCCTATAAGGGTAGTTTTATTAGTTTGATTCAGTGCCCAGAAGAGTAGCTGAAATATAGTAGGTGATTAATAAATGGATGAATCATCTTTCAGTAAGCTCAAATAAAAAGAGAATAAGAAATAGAAAAGGAGCATAGTTAATTTTTGTTTGTTTGTTTTTGAGACATGGTCTCTGTCTGTAACCCAGGCTGGAATGCAATGGCACAATCACAGCTCACTGCAGCCTTGACCTCCTAGGCTCAAGCAATCCTTCCATCCCAGCCTCCTGAGCAGCTGGGACTACAGGCACACACTACCACATCCAGCTAATTTTGTTTGTTTATTTTTTGAGACAGAGTGTTGCTCAGTCACCCAGGCTGCAATGCAGTGGCGTGACCTCGGCTCACTGCAACCTCTGCCTCCTGGGTTCAAGTGATTCTTGTGCCTTAGTGTCCGGAGTAGCTGGGATTATAGGCGTGCGCCACCACACCCAGCTGATTTTTGTATTTTTAGTAGCAACAGGGTTTCATTATGTTGGCCAGGCTGGTCTTGAATTCCTAGCCTCAAATTATCTGCCCACCTCGGCCTCCCAAAGTGCTGGGATTACAGGTGTGAGCCACCACACCCAGCCTATTTTGTTTATTTTTTTTAGAGACAAGGTCTCACTATGTTGCCTAGGCTGGTCTCAAACTCCTGGGCTCAAGTGATCCTCCTGCCTTGGCCTCCCAGAGTGCTGGGTACAGGCATGAGCCACTATGCCTAGCCTGTAAATGATTTTTAAAATAACTTACTTCTCAAAAGGTGAGTGGCATTCCCAACTCTCCCAAGAGGTTAATTGCCTTCTCCCTCAAGTTAAAGCAGAAAATAATAAAAAATTATGTATAAAGGCCAGGCACAGTGGCTCATACCTATAATCCCAGCATTTTGGGAAGCCAAGGAGAGAGGACTGCTTGACGTCAGGGGTTTGAGACCAGCCTGGGCAACAGAGCAGGACTCCACCTCTACAAAAAATAAGAATAAAAATTTTTAGGCTGGGCGCGGTGGCTCAAGCCTGTAATCCCAGCACTTTGGAAGGCCGAGATGGGCGGATCACAAGGTCAGGAGATGGAGACCATCCTGGCAAACAAGGTGAAATCCTGTCTCTACTAAAAAATACAAAAAACTAGCTGGGCGAGGTGGCAGGTGCCTGTAGTCCCGGCTACTCGGGAGTCTGAGGCAGGAGAATGGCGTAAACCTGGAAGGCGGAGCTTGCAGTGTGCTGAGATCCGTCCACTGCACTCCGGCCTGGGGGACAGAGCGAGACTCTGTCTTAAAAAAAAAAAAAAATTTTTAGGCCAGGCACGGTGGCTCACACCTGTAATCCCAGCACTTCCAGAGGCCGAGAGGGGCAGATCACTTGAGGTCAGGAGTTGAAGACCAGCCTGGCCAACGTAGTGAAACCCCACCTCTACTAAAAATACAGAATTTATCTAGGTGTGGTGGTGGGTACCTATAATTCTAGCTACTCAGGAGCCTGAGGCAGGAGAATCGTTTGAGCCCAGGAGGCTGAGGTTGCAGGGAACTGAGATCATGCCACTGCACTTCAGGCTGGGCTACAGAGTGAGACTCCATCTAAAAAAAAAAAAACAAAGCCACGTGTGGTGCATGAACTTTGTAGTTCTAGCTACTTAGGGGGCTGAGCTGCGAGGATCATTTGAACCTAAGAGTTCAAGGCTAGGATGAGCTATGATTGTACCACTGTACTACAGACTGGGAGACAGAGTGAGATCCTATCTCAATTTTTTTTTAATGACACATAAAGATCTACATTTTAACTAAAATATATAAACATACATTAAAATTCCCTAACTTTTCATTAGTCCACCGATTATTACAAGGACCTTGGCTTTCTTGTAATAAAATATAATCAAAAGGCACAATTTACAGTTTCTAGTTTCTTTAAAGCAAGGCAAATCTTTACTCACACTTACAAAGCAATCTAAGAGCAAAAATTCAACTAGGGTTGCTTTTTCTTTTTATCTTTTCCTGAACATTTTGCATTTATCTTGCCCAGCATAGTATTAAAGCAGTTTTTTTTTAAAATCATCTTTATCACATCTTTTCAAAGCATTCAACTTTGTTTTTTGTGGTGCTTTTGTTTTTTGTGTTTTTTTTGAGATGGGGTCTTGTTCTGTTGCCCAGGCTGGAGTGCAGTGGCATGCCCTCGGCTCACTGCAACCTCTACCTCCTGGGTTTAAGCGATGCTCCTGCCTCAGCCTCCCGATTAGCTGGGATTATAGGTGTGCCCCACCACGCCTGGCTAATTTTTTTGTTTTTTTAGTATAGACAGGGTTCACTATGTTGGCCAGGCTGGTCTCGAACTTCGACCTCATGATCTGCCTGCTCGGCCTCGGCCTCCCAAAGTGCTGGGATTACAGGCAAAAGCCACTGCGCCCAGCTGCCTAGTTTTCAAATAAATAATTGCTCTCTGCTTTTCACATTCACATTTTATTGATTTAACATAATATTTAATTAATTTATATAATTTCAAAAATAATATAACTGGCATTACAACTGACTCTTGATAAACATTCAACCTAATGGTATGTTTTACAGAGGAAATGCAGAGCAAAAATTGACTCTATAAATCAGTTAAGTGGCGATGCATTAGAACACACCCAAAGTCTTATAATTCCCACACCCTATGACTCAGCAATTCCACTTTCACAAATGAATTCTAATTTCTTCCCATCTTTGGGAGCAAAACTTTAGCTATAAATGTATTCATAAAAATACAAAATCACAAAACTGGAAACACTTGAATGTCCAGTAATATAAAACAGTTAAATTAAATTATAGTAAACTCATCAATAGAATACCATGCAACTCTCAGAAGAATACACTGAAAGACAGCATAGAATAACGGACATATAATTATGTAATAAAAAGTAAGTTATAGGCCAGGCACGGTGGCTCACGCCTGTAATCCCAGCACTTTGGGAGGCCAAGGCAAGAGGATCACAAGGTCAGCAGATCGAGACAGTCCTGGCTAACATGGTGAAACCTCGTCTCTACTAAAAATACAAAAAAAAAAAAAAAAAATTAGCCGGGCATGGTGGCAGGCGCCTGTAGTCCCAGCTACTCAGGAGGCCGAGGCAGGAGAATGGCGTGAACCCAGGAGGCAGAGCTTGCAGTGAGCCAAGATCACGCCACAGCACTCCAGCCTGGGCAACAGAGTGAGAGTCCATCTCAAAAAAAATGAAAAAACAAAACAAAAACACAACAAAACAAAACAAAAAGCAAGTTACAAAATAGCATGTAATGTAAAAACCCATTTTGGTAAAATATTTAAGGAAAAGACAGCTGGGCGCGGTGGCTCAAGCCGTAATCCCAGCACTTTGGGAGGCCGAGACGGGCGGATCACGAGGTCAGGAGATCGAGACCATCCTGGCTAACACGGTGAAACCCCGTCTCTACTAAAATACAAAAAAAACTAGCCGGGCGTGGTGGCGGGCGCCTGTAGTCCCAGCTACTCGGGAGGCTGAGGCAGGAGAATGGCATCAACCCGGGAGGTGGAGCTTGCAGTGAGCTAAGATCTGGCCACTGCACTCCAGCCTGGGCGGCAGAGCGAGACTCCGTCTCAAAAAAAAAAGGAAAAGACAGAGTATTAAGTAAAATAATGATATGCAAAGTTGCCATGGTGCTGGCTCATAGTAGGCAATCAATAAATGTGACCTTTACTACTATGATTATTATTTAAAAGGGATATACAGCAGAAGTTCCTAACAGTTACCTTTAGGATACAGAAACACGAGTGATTCTCACTTTTTTTACATGTCCTAAATTTTCATCACTAAGTATATATTTGTTTTGTAATAAGGGTAAAAAAGAGCTCTTTTTCTTTTTTTTTTTTTTTTTTTTTGAGATGGAGTCTCGCACTGTCCCCCAGCCTGGAGTGCAGTGGCGCGATCTAGGTTCACTGCAAGCTCCACCTCCCAGGTTCACGTCATTCTCCTGCCTCAGCCTCCTAAGTAGCTGGGACTACAGGCCCGCCATCACGCCCAGCTAATTTTTTTGTATTTTTAGTAGAGACGGGGTTTCACCATGTTAGCTAGGATGGTCTCAATCTCCTGACCTCGTGATCTGCCCGCCTCAGCCTCCTGAAGTGCTGGGATTACAGGTGATAGGCACAGCGCCCGGCCTTTTTTTTTTTTTTTTTTTGGTGAGGCAGTGTCTCATTCTGTTGCCCAGCTTGGAGTGCAGTGGCATGATCATTGCTGACTGCAGCCTCGACCTCCTGGGCTCAAGCAATCCTCCTACCTCAGCATTCAGAGTGGCTGGAACTACAGGCACGTGGCACCATGTCTGGCTAATTTTTGTATTTTTTTGTAGAGACAGGGTTTCACCATGTTGCTCAGGCTGGTCTCAAACTCCTGAGCTCAAGTGATCCACCCACCTCGGTCTCTCAAAGTGCTAGGATTATGGGCATGAGCCACCGTGCCTGGCCAAAAATCACTCTTTTAAAAAATGTACCAAACAGTAAGAAGTGAATGGCTTCAATATAATCAGTTTTATCTACCAATTTCTCACTTCTGCTTCCAAGAAGCCCATAGTAGAAAAGGCTTTATTACAAAGACCTTTAAAAATTATTCCTCAACATGGTATATTTGAAATTTTGAGAAAATGTCCCTGTCCTGTAGGAAAAGGAATAAAATATGAGCAGCAGCATTATTATGTAAGCATCAACTATTACAAATTTATTTTTATTTATTTATTTTTTGGAGACAAGAGTCCAGGTTGCACTACGGTGGCATAATCTCAGTTCACTGCAGCCTCCAACTCCTGGGCTCAAAAATTTCTCCCACCTCAGCCTCCTGAGTAGCTAGGACTACAGGTATGTACCACCACACCCGGCTAATTTTTGTTTTTTTGTGGAGACAGGGTTTCACTCTGTTGCCCAGGCTTGTCTCAAACTCTTGGCCTCAAGTGATCCTCCTGCCTCTGCCTCCCAAAGTGCTAGGATTGCAGGTGTGAACCACTGCACCTAGCCAAGCATCAAGTATTATATCATTATCTGAAAGCTGCTAACTCTCCTAAAACATATACAAGGAAATTTCATATAATCTCTAAGATTACCAGTGAGTAGATCTGAACACATACTGTATGTGGACTCGAGTACCAGTTTTGCCAAACACATCACACTTCATCAGCTGTATCATCTTATAATGCAAAGTAAATGAAAGACATATTAATTTTGAATATGTTTATAGCACCAGACAAGCAAATAAAATGAAAAATTAACATGCTATTACATTTTCTCTTCATTTTATCAAAATACTTACACTCTTTGTATGAATTCTGGAAAAAGTAGTATATGGTGCCAAAAACTTAGCAGATGCACTTTCCTTTGGACATGAAATATGAATGCTTTTCTAAACAAAGAGAAAAGATGAGATTTGTCAGTAAAACTCCTCCAATGTATTATAATTAAAGCCTCTTAAAGAAAACATTAGGACTACAGGACATTCTCATCTTCTCAGTGTACCCTCTCTCATCCTCCTTTCCCACCCCACAAAACTATCCCTCCCCTATAGATCAGCAGTCCTTTTAAACTGCTGAGGGCTACAGTGTAATTTGGTATCGCTAAGATGCCATTATCTTTTTATGTTGAAATAAACTGCTGCACAGAAGACAGACAAGCAGTATGATACAACCAACAAGCATTAGAGCGTTAGTTTTAAGAAGAAAATCTAATACCAATACTCTCAACTGGCAGTGGGGCAAGGAACAGGATCAGCGGAAGAAGACATAAAGAGATATAAGGAAACTCAGCACCAGTCCCCAAGCCTAGGTCTTAAAAGACAAGTCTAAAAGTAAACTTGCTGTCTATAAGAACTTTTAGAGAGAACGTTAGACTACTGACATTTACAATGACCAGATGAAATCGGTAAAGTAAATTATGGTACACCCATAAAATGTGTAGGCCTGGGTCAGGCTTGCAGTGCCTACTCCCTGCTTAGACTTAAATTGACTGTACATGTGCAAAGACTGGTTATTGTAACACAGTTATATTTTGATGCCCCATGTGTTCTACCTAGTCATTACCACCTGTCTTTCAACTACTATAGGAGGATAACACTGGTGGCATATTAGGAAAGTATGCTTAGAACTAGATGTTAGATTCAGGAGACATGACTTGCTAAAGGCCATCTGTAACCATTTTAGATAAGAATATTGGTGTTTCGAGGTAGCATGTGTAGAGGTTTAAAAAAAGGCTTGGTGGCTGAGCGCAGTGGCTCACGCCTCTAATTCCAGCACTTTGGGAGGCTTAGGCGGGAGGATCACAAGGTCAGCAGATCAAGACCATCCTGGCTAACACAGTGAAACCCCGTCCCTACTAAAAATACAAAAAAATTTAGCCTGGTTTGGTAGCAGGCGCCTGTAGTCCCAGTTACTCAGAGGCTGAGGTAGGATAATGTTGTGAACCTGGGAGACGGAGCTTGTAGTAAGCCAAGGTCGTGCCACTGCACTCCAGCCTGGGCAACGGAGTGAGACTCCGTCTCCAAAAAAAGGCTTGGTAAACTCTCCCTCAAGGACTCTTGCAATATGACAGTCCCTTACTCTAACCAGCATAATACCAATACTATCACCTAAGTATAGATCTCCTATACGGAATTGAGGAGCTACACTCACCAAAGGACCCCTAACCTTTTATCTCTTCTGTAGTAGTACTTCAAAATCTCTGGTAATTCTTTTTTTTTTTTGAGACGGAGTCTCCCACTGTTGCCCAGGCTGGAGTGCAGTGCCGCAATCTGCAAGCTCTGCCTCCTGGGTTCACGACATTTTCCTGCCTCAGCCTCCTGAGTAGCTGGGACTACAGGCGCCCACCACCACGCCTGGCTAATTTTTTTTTTTTTTTTTTTGTATTTTTAGTAGAGACGGGGTTTCACCATGTTAGCCAGAATGGTCTCGATCTCCTGACTTCGTGATCCACCCACCTCGGCCTCCCAAAGTGCTGGGATTACAGGCATGAGCCACCGCGCCCGGCCAAGTCTCTGGTAATTCTTCAGGACAATGAAAATGACTTCAGTAATCAAAATTTTCTGAATCTCCTTATATCCAACAAGCACAGGTCCTCACAGTTCATTAGAAAGAATGGTTTCAAAGTCAAAATATTCTCATCATTGAATCAGTATGTTCTTTACAGATCTACTTTAAAATGACAATTAGACTATCTACACAAACAGCACTTTCTTAGCCAGCATATCCATGCCTGGCTGCCCGCAGGCCTTTCTTTAAATGAGTTTTTGCTTCTAACTGCGTGACCAAGCCCATATAGCTGCAAGAGTACTGGCCTGGATTTGGAACTACCTTTTGTACCAGAAACTAAAGTGTCAGCTAAATTCTCTTGGTTGAATATTCATACTAGCAAGGATGCAAGGAGTTTCAAAAGCTTAGTGTTTGGGCCTCTATAAGAATTGGGTTAGCTCTCAGAAGACTTCATTTCTTTGGAGCTATGTGACAGATTTCAATAATCAGTTCTTTTCTCCTACTTTGCAATCTTGCAAATCAACCTTTGATCCACAAACAGACTATGAAGGAAGATAAATGTTAAAATATCTTCCAATATTAGCAGTGGACAATCATGCTGTTAATGAAAATATTTTAAAGAAAAACTGCAAGAGAGATCAGAACAGACAAAATCCAAGTGGAAAAAATGTGAGTATGCTGCACTAAGATAAAATTCTAAGTCAAACATTTTTATCCTCCAGGGTTAGACATTTAAGCACAATGACAGATCTACTGTTTAAGAGAACAATGTAGCAATATCAAATAGCAAAGTGACTCATGGCAGTTAGGAAACAAATGAATGTTCAACTATAAGCACTTACTGTCTGAACCCACCCAGCAGGTTCACAGCAAAAATTAGCAATCATGTTTGAAGTGATAAGGACTGTATCCAGGTCTAAGTATGAAGGGAAGAAAGAAGTCAGCACCCAGGCTGTGCAAAAACACCTGAGAAAAACGTAGGCTTGCATGGTAGTGCTAAACTTGGAATCAACAGAACTGGGTTTCAATGCCAGCATACAGTCTGTCTTTGATTATTAGAGATTAATTAACCTCTCTGAGTTTGTTTGCCTATCTGCAAAATGGAAATTTAAAATGCCAATCCCACAGGATTGTCATGGTAAAACAACCAAAACTAACTTTTGTAGTATTTTATAGATTCATCCACATGCAGTCTCATTCCCCATTAACCATTCTAGGAGGTAGATTACGATCTCAGCTTTATTGATGAGGAAACTGAGACCCAGAGAATTAAGTTATTTGTCCAAAATCACATAGTTAATAAGTGTCAGAATTAACTAAGACTTAGATCTTCTGACACCTATAATACTCATAGCTGTTTATGAAAAACAAATATGAAATATATAATAACATGTAGCCTATTACCTGGCCCAAAGAGAGTAATGAATGAACATTTGCTAAAAATCTTATGTAAAAAACAAAGTATTCTCTATTCTTGTTAGTATACCCAAAATATTTTTTTTTGTTGTTTTTATTTTTTTTGAGACGGAGTCTCACTCTGTCGCCCAGGCTGCAGTGCAGTGGCGCGATCTCAGCTCACTGCAAGCTCCGCCTCCCAGGTTTACGTCACTCTCCTGCCTCAGCCTCCCGAGTAGCTGGGACTACAGGCGCCCGCCACCTCGCCCGGCTAGTTTTTTTGTATTTTTTTAGTAGATATGGGGTTTCACCATGTTGGCCAGAATGGTCTCGATCTCCTGACCTCGTGATCCGCCCGTCTCGGCCTCCCAAAGTGCTGGGATTACAGGCTTGAGCCACTGCGCCCAGCCCCAAAATATTTTTTATAACTAAAAAGTTTAATTACACAAAAAAAGAAAAATGAAACAAAAGGCTGGTCCGCCCTTAAGGAATCATCTCACCTTAGGGAATGAATGAACATTTGCTAAAAATCTTATGTGAAAAATGAAGTATTCTCTATTCTTGTAAGTATATCCAAAGTATTTTTATAACTAAAAAGTTTAATTACACAAAAAATGAAAAATGAAACAAAGGTTGGTCCACCCTTAGGGAATCATCTCATCAGAGCATACTAACTGCAGCAGTCAGAATTAGTAGGGAGAGGCAAATCATGGGTGCTCCAATGCTTTGCTTACCCATCTACTCACCTCAAAGACAAACAAGAAAAACTGTTAAGTACTATTAATGTAGACTCTTCATCAAGGCCTCAACAGATATGGATTATAAGGCTACATTGTTCAGTGTAGTAGGTAACAGCCATATCAGGCAACTGAGAACTACTTGGATATAGGCATATGTTTTCAACTGTAAATTTTATAAAACCTAAATACAGATCAAGTATTTCTAATAAAAATTACAGTCTGAACTAGGCTGTAAAAGTAAAATATACATGGAGTTTTGAAGACTTAATAAGAAAAATAAATGTAAAATCTCTCTAATAATTTTTAGTAGTATTTACAGGTTGAAATAATGTTTTAGGTATACTGGGTTAGATCAAATATATTATTAAAATCAATTTCGGCTAGGCGTGGTGGCTCATGCCTGTAATCTCAGCACTTTGGGAGGCCAAGACAGGTGGATCACAAGGTCAGGAGTTCAAGACCAGCCTGGCCAACATGGTGAAACCCCATCTCTACTAAAAATGCAAAAATTAGCTGGGGTTGGTGGCAGGTGCCTGTAATCCCAGCTGCTAAGGAGGCTGAGGCAGGAGAATTGCTTGAACCCAGGAGGCAGCAGTTGCAGTAAGCCAATATCGTGCCATTGCACTCCAGCCTGGGTGACAGAGCAGGACTCCATCTCAAAAAACAAAACAAAACAAAAATCAATTTCATCATTTACTTCTATCTCTATAATGTGGCTACTAGAAAATTTTAAATTACACATACATCTTGCATTATCAGAGGTGATATAAGGGAAGTAAGAGGAAATTTGATGGCACTTAAAAGTATATGTAACTACAAGAGAAAAAGAAAACTATTAACACAGGCAGCAAAAACTGTGATTCTCATATAAATGAAGTGGAGATACACGATAATCGTATAAATATCTAAAGTAGATGTATGGGTACTACCATAGTTTTAAATATCATGCCATCTAGAAGATATAAAAACATACCTTGTTTATTTCATTCACAATAAATCCTTCTGAAGCTGTAACCTCTGGGATGCCATCTAGGCCAATTCCTTGACAAGTTAGGCTGCCATACAAAGACGGTTTCCCTATATGGTACAAAAAAAGCATGTCTCAAAAAATAAGAAAAATTTAATATTTTTCTCTTTGAAGACCCAATTCAGGCATCTGTATAAATAGTAAACCCATGAAATTGGCCCATGAAAGAAAAACAGGTACCTGTGTTAAAAGTCAGGTGAAGTAAAAAGAGAATTAGATTAGGTGTCTTAGTCTGTTTAGTGTTGCTATAAAGGAATACCTGAGGCTGGGTAATTTACAGAGAAAAGAGGTTTATTTGGCTCACGGTTCTGCAGACTGTACAAGAAGCATGGCACCAGCATCTGCTTCTGATGAGAGCCTCAGGCTGCTTCCACGCATGGCAGAAGGAGAAAGGAGCCAGTATGTGCAGAGATCACATGGTGAGAGAGGAAGTAAGAGAGAGGAGGGAGATACCAGGATCTTTTTTACAATCAGCTTTCTCAGGAAAGAACAGAGTGAGAACTCAGTCACTCTCACTCCCCAGGGAGGACATTAATCTATTCATGAGGCGTCTGCCCCCATGACCCAAAACACCCCCCATTAGGCCCTACCTCCAACACTAAGGATTAAATTTCAACATGAGATTTGGAGGGGTCAAATATCCAAACTATAGCACTAGGCAACTCTAATTTGAAAGGGAATACACTTTCAAGACTAAAATACATATTCTATTTTTTTTTTTTTTTTGGTCTGAGATGGAGTCTCGCTCTGTCACCTAGGCTGGAGTGCAGTGGCGCAATCCGGCTCACTGCAACCTCCGCCTCCTGGGTTCACGCCATTCTCCTGCCTCAACCTCCTGAGTAGCTGGGACTATAGGCACCTGCAACCACACCCAGCTAATTTTTTATATTTTTAGTAGAAATGGTGTTTCACCGTGTTAGCCAGGATGGTCTCAATCTCCTGACCTCATGATCCGACCGCCTCGGCCTCCCAAAGTGCTGGGATTACAGGTGTGGGCCACTGCGCCCGACCTGACTAAAACACATTTTCAAGACTAAAAAAGAACAAAGATTTAGTGATTTGATACAGCATTTGTAGAGAGGGCTGCTAGAGTGATCTCAACTTGATGTAACTGGCTGTGAAATGTAATTCTTCCAGGATGAAAGGTGAAGATCAATATGCATACATGTATTTATCCACAGTATATACACATAATACACAGTAAAGAATTAAGCTTCAATAACCTGTAAAATTTGCCTAAGTAGAATACTGATTTTGCAGAGATATGAGCCAAGTAAGATATTATCCTACACATAAGCACACGCAGATGATAAAATGAAGTTAAAAACTGTTTCCATTCTTCTTCTACACCTTATATATTCAGGTCCAAAACAGCCCATATAACACACTGTTTACATGCCTGACTTGCCCAATAGACTGTGAAGTCCTTGAGTCTACCAGGGTGCTACATTCATTTATTATTCAGTAAATAAATGTTGAACCAAACTGAAGTTACAGAATAGAGAAGTAGAAATCACCATGGATTCACATAAAAGTGTGAGGGCTTTTTTTTTGAGATGGAGTTTCATTAGTGTCGCCCAGGTTGGAGTGCAATGGCGCGATCTCAGCTCACTGCAACCTCCACCTCCTGGGTTCAAGCAGTTCTCATGCCTCAGCCTCCCAAGTAGCTGGAATTACAGGCGCCTGCCACCACACCTGGCTAATTTTTGTATTTTTAGCAGAGACGGGGTTTCACCAGATTGGCCAGGCCAGTCTCGAGCTCCTCCCCTCAGGTGATCACCCACCTCAGCCTCCCAAAGTGTTGGGATTACAGGCGTAAGCCACCACGTCCAGCCGGGAGCGCTTTCTAGAGAGTATAGGACTTGCGTAGGATCCTCAAAGAAAGATAGGAGCTGGCTAGGAAGAAAATAAGGGAAAGAAAACTCCAAATTAAGGAGGAGCATATCAAGAATGAAAGAAAGTCGGCTGGGCATGGTGGCTCACGCCTGTAATCTCAGCACTTTGGGAGCCCATGGTGGGTGGATCACAACATCAGGAGTTCAAGACCAGCCTGGCCAACACAGTGAAACCTCATCTCTACTAAAAATACAAAACTTAGCCAGGTTTGGTGGCATGCGCCTGTAGTCCCAGCTACGATAAGCAAGAGGCTGAGGCAGAAGAATCGCTTGAACCTGGGAGGCGGAGGTTGCAGTGAGCTGAGACCACGCCATTGCACTCCAGTATGGGTGACAGAGTGAGACATCATCTCAAAAAAAAATAATAAAAGAAAAAAAAAACAAGAGGGAAGGACTCATCAATTAATACACCAGTTTGGTAATAGCAGTCATGGAAATGATAGTTAAGGGATAAATCCCAGAGAAACTCAAGTCTAGGGTAGAAGTTTGGCCTACAGAAGACCTAGTAAAGACGCTTTTCACAGGGAAGTATCATGAAGCACTATTTCAGAAAGATGCCACAAAAACAGAACTGAAGGAACTTCACTTTTTATCCCACTCCATAATTCCCTACTGTGTTTACCAACTGCCTTAAGAAGTCTGGCCCTCATGGTGCATCATTTCAACCAATCACTCAATGACTTCTCTACATTTGTGGATGTATATATATATGTATTTTTTAAATATTTGAGACAGTGTCTCACTCTGTCACCCAGGCTGGAGTGCAGTGGCATGATCATGGTTCACTGCAGCCTCTGTCTCCTGGAATCAAGTGATTCTCCCACCTCAGCTTCCTGAGTAGCCTGCATGCCACCATGCCCAACCTTTTTTTTTTTTTTTTTGAGACGGAGTCTCGCTCAGTCGCCCAGGCTGGAGTGCAGTGGCACGATCCTGGCTCACTGCAAGCTCCGCCTCCCGGGTTCACACCATTCTCCTGCCTCAGCCTCCCAAGTAGCTGGGACTACAGGCGCCCGCCACCACACCCAGCTAATTTTTTGCATTTTTTTTTAGTAAAGAAGGGGTTTTACCGTGTTAGCCAGGATGGTCTCGATCTCCTGACCTAGTGATCCACCCACCTCAGCCTCCCAAAGCGCTGGGATTACAAGTGTAAGCCACCACACCCGGCCAATTTTTTATTTTTTATTTATTTTTTATTTTTAGTAGAGACTGTTGCCCAGACTGGTCTCGAACTACTGGGCTCAAGCAATCCTTCTGCCTCAGCCTCCCAAAGTGGTAGGATTACAGGGTGAGTTACCCTGCCCAGCTGACTTCTCTACATTTGTGAAGTCACTAAAATGACCTCAGCCTTGGTTTTCTCTATATAATAGCAGAACTGGGATCAATCCAACCACTCACCTTCTACATTCCTACATGCAGGCTGCTGAGCACTGCTCCAGAAAAGGACACAACTGCCAATTGTCACCAATCCAATTCCTGTTTCTAAACTCAGCAGTTTTGTAATTCTTTCACCTCTCCCATTCTCCACAGCAGCCGGTTCTCATGCCATCTATCCTGCCATCAAAATCTCCTTCCCTCATAATAGCCAAAACCTAGAAATAATGTCCATCAATTGATGAATGGATAAACAAAATATAGTGTATCCATACAACAGAGTATTACTGGGCCACATAAAGGAATGAAGTACTGATAAAAACAACATATAGAAACATTGTACTAAGTTACCTGTAATCCCAGCACTTTGGGAGGCCGAGGTGGGTAGATCACTTGAGGCCAAGAGTTCAAGACCAGCCTGGCCAACATGCCGAAACCTCATTCGTCTCTACTAAAAATACAAAAATTACCCGGGTGTGGTGGCAGGTGCCTGTAATCCCAGCTACTCAGGAAGCTGAGGCACAAAAATCACTTGAATCTGGGAAGTGAAGGTTGCAATGAGGAGCTGAGATTGCATCACTATACTTCAGCCTAGACAACAGAGTGAGACTCTCCAAAAAAAAAAAAAGAAAGAAAGAAACATTATGCTAAGTGAAAGAAGTCACACAAAAGGCCACGTATTTTATGATTCCATTTATATGAAATGTCCAAAGTAGGCAAAACCATAGAGACAGAAAGTAAACTAGTGGTTGCTAGGATTAGGGGGTGGAAAGTGACCGTTAACGGGTATAGACTTTTTTTTGGGGGGGAGTGATACTAGAAATAATATATGTAAAGCAACTAGCACATAGATAGCACACATTTTTATCTCAATAAAGCTGTTATTTAAAAACAAAAACAAGAAACAAGATGGTGGATCACACCTAGAGTCTCAGCTACTTGGGAGGCTGAGAAAGGATCACTTGAGCACAGGAGTTCAAATTCAGCACCTGGGAAACACAGTGAGACCCCATGCATTAAAAAATAAACACAGAAGTTCAAGACCAGCCTGGGCAACATAGTGAGACCTTGTCTCCACAAAAAATTTAAAAAATTAGCCGGGTATGGTGGTGCATGGCTGTGGTCCCAGCTACTCAGGAGGCTTAGGTGGGAGGATCTCTTGAACCCAGGAGATCAAGGCTGCAGTGACCCATAACCACGTAACTGTACTCCAGCCTGAGCAACAGGGCAAGACCCTGTCTCAAAAAAATAAGAATAGGCCAGGCACGGTACGTCTGTAATCCCAGCACTTTGGGAGGCTGAGGTGGGTGGATCACAAGGTCAGGAGTTCCAGACCATCCTGCCTAACACGGTAAAACCCTGTCTCTACCAAAAATACAAAAAAATTAGCTGGGCGTGGTGGCGGGTGCCTGTAGTCCCAGCTACTCAGGAGGCCGAGGCAGGAGAATGGCATGAACCCGGAAGGCGGAGCTTGCAGCGAGCCAAGATCGTGCCACTGCACTCCAGCCTAGGCGACAGAGCGAGATTCCATCTCAAAAACAAAACAAAACAAAAAAAATTAGCCAGGCGTGGTGGCCCATGCCTGCAATCCCAGCTACTTGGGAGGCCGAGGCAGAAGAATTGCTTGAACCCAGGAGGCGGAGGTTGCAGTGAGCCAAGACCACACCACTGCACTCCAGCCTGGGCGACAAGAGCGAAACTCCAACTCAAAAATAAATAAATAAATAAATAATATATAAAAATAAAAATAAACACACACAAAAACAAAAACCATCCTCCTCCTTAAGAGTTGACATCATTAACTCCAATTCATAAAGAAAACTGAGCCTACAAGTTACCCTCAAAAAAAAAAAAAAAAAAGTGCGGGTGCGGGGGCTCACACCTGTAATCCCAGCACTTTGGGAGGCCACAGTGAGTGGATCACAAGATCAGGAGATGGAGACCATCCTGACTAACACGGTGAAACCCCGTCTCTACTAAAAATACAAAAAATTGCCGGGCGCGGTGGCTCATGCCTGTAACCCCAGCACTTTGGGAGGTTGAGGTGGATGGATCACCTGAGGTTGGGAGTTCGAGACCAGCCTGACCAACACGGAGAAACCGTGTCTCTGTTAAAAAAAAAAAAAAACATACAAAATTAGCCAGGCATGGTGGCACATGCTTGTAATCCCAGCTACTCGGGAGGCTGAGGCAGGAGAATTGCTTGAATCTGGGAGGTGGAGGTTGCAGTGAGCCAAGATTGTGCCATTGCACTCCAGCCTCCAGCCTGGACAACAAGAACGAAACTCCGTCTCAAAAAAAAAAAAACAAAAACAAAAACAAAAAAATTAGCCAGGCATGGCGGCACACGCCTGTAGTTCCAGCTACTTGGGAGGCTGAAGCTGGAGAATCACTTGAACCTGGCAGGCGGAGGTTGCAGTGAGCCGAGACTGCGCCACTGCACTCCAGCCTGGGCAACAGAGTAAGACTCCATCTCAAAAACAAACAAACAAAAAACTCATTGGTTGTTGAAGGTAGCTTGGTAATTAAAAACAAAACAAAACTAAGTTTGTTGCTTTGTAAAGACTTGATAATTTTTTTAAAAACTGTTTTAGGCCAGGGGCAGTGGCTCATGCCTATAATCCCAGCACTTTTGGCAGGAGGATCACTTGAGGTCAGGAGTTCAAGACCAGCCTGGCCAACATGGTGAAATCCCGTCTCTACTAAAAACACAAAAATTAGCTGGGCATGGTAACATGCACCTGTAGTCCCAGCTATTCAGGAGGCTGAGGCACGAGAATCGCTTCAACCCGGGACTGGAGGTTGCAGTGAGCTGAGATCATGCTACTGCATTCCAGCCTGGGTGACAGCACAAGACTCTGTTTAAAAACATTGCTTTAATAGTATGTATGGGCAAGATAAATGCAAAATGTTAGGGAAAAGATCTAAAAAAATATAAACCCCAGTTGACATTTTGCTCTTAGATTGCTTTTTTAGCGTAAGTAAAGATTTGCCTTGCTTTAAAGAAACTGTGCCTTTCGGTTATGGTTTATTATAAGAAAGCCAAGGTCCTTGTAATAATCAGTGGACTAATGAAGAGATGGTGAATTTTAATGTATGTTTACATATTTTAGTTAAAATAAAATGTAGGTCTTTTGTGTATTTTTTTTTTTTTTTTAACTTTTATTTATTTATTTATTTTTGAGACGGAGTTTCACTCTTGTTACCCAGGCTGGAATGCAATGGCGCGATCTCCACTCACTGCAACCTCCACCTCATGGGTTTAAGCGATTCTCCTGCCTCAGCCTCCTGAGTAGCTGGGATTACAGGCAGCACCACCATGCCCGGCTAATTTTTTGTATTTTTAGTAGAAACGGGGTTTTATGTTAGCCAGGCTGGTCTCAAACTCCCGACCTCAGGTGATCTGCCCACCACGGCTTCCTAAAGTGCTGGGATAACAGGCGTGAGCCACCGTGCCCAGCCTTTTTTTTTTTTTGGGGGGACGGAGTCTTGCTCAGTCGACTAGGCTAGAATACAGTGGCATGATCTCGGCTCACTGCAAGCTCTGCCTCCCGGGTTCATGCCATTCTCCTGCCTCAGGCTCACGAGTAGCTGGGACTACAGGCACCCGCCACAATGCCTGGCTAATTTTTTGTATTTTTTTTAGGAGAGCCACTGTGCCCAGCTTTTTAATTTTTTTTATTTTTATTTTTTAATTGAGACAGGGTTTTGGTCTGTCTCTCAGGCTGGAGTACAGTGGCACAATCCTAGCTCAAGCAGTTAGAATAGGATTTTTGAACATAATTAAGCACAATAAAATAGGTAAAATAAAATACAGTATTGTCCTTGAATTTTTATGTTACATATGTATGTATATATGTGTATGTATGTGTGTGTATATATATATTTGTATATTTGTGTGTGTGTTTCTTTTTTTAGAGACATGGTCTCACTTTCTGGTCCAGGGTAGGAGATCACGTAGCATGATCACAGCTACCCTGATCAGGGTAGGAGATCCAGTAGCATGATCACAGCTCACTGCAGCCTTGACTTGTTGGACTTGAGCAATCCTCCCACCTCTGCCTCTTGAGTAGCTGGGACTACAGACACCCAACACCATGCCCAGCTAGTTTTATTTGCTGTAGACACGAGGTCTCCCTATGTTCCCCAAGCTGGTCTCAAGCAATCCTCCACCTTGGCCTCCCAGAATGGTGGATGATAGGTGTGAGCCACCACATCTGGCCTTATACTTTAAGATGATTGGCAAGTCACAACACTATAAAGTCAGTCCTTTATTCCACTGATATAAACAATAATCTTTTTTTTTTTTTAAATGATGGGGTCTCACGCTGTCACTCCAGCAAGAGTGCAATGGTTCAATTGTAACTCACTGCAGCCTCAACCTCCTGGGCTCAAGAGATCCTCCTATCTCAGCCTACCAAGTAGCTGAGACTATACAAGCATGCCACTATGCCTATTTTTTTATTATTATTTTTTATAGAGATGGGGGTCTCACTTTGTTTCCCAGGCTGGTCTCGAACTCCTGGGCTCAAGTGATCCTCCTGCCTCAGCTTCCCAAAGTGCTAGGATTATAGGTGTGAGCCACTGTGCCTGGCCAAAACTTTATTTCTCATAGAAATACAATATATCAGCAGCATTTGAAATGAAAGATAATCAGCAAAACAAAACTTTCTCACAGAATTTAGAAGGAAGGTTGATTTGTTTTAGAATGGTACCACATTGGTTACCAATTTGAAAAGAATCCTGTGAATGAAATAAAGAGTGTTGTTCAAAAGAAAAACTGATAAGACTTGGGAGCTTCCTGGATATGGCAGGGTCAAATAACTAGGTTTTTCACTCTGGTGCCTAGAAAAATGATGGTAACTTAAGAAATGAGAAAATCAAGAAAGAGAACTCACTTGACAACAAATGTACTCAGCTTGGTTTTGGACTTCAGTAAGTCAAGTAACTTAAGGTGACAGTGAGACCTTTAAGCAGAAATCTCCAGCAAACAACTGATCAATCTCTGTTTGAACATGGAGAAGTCAGGGCTGGAGCTATAGATCTAGAAATTATCATCAAGAAGGTCCCAGTTAAAGCTGCAGAAGTGCTTAGAATACAACAGCACAGGGTAAGTGATTAATTAAGATGCATCAACAATGTCTCCATGAATCAGTCTGTGGCTTTCAAATGGATAATCAATCTGAAGGCCTTCCCTTGGAATGGAGGAGTTGGGGTGTTAGCCATACAGTACTGACTGGTCAAGCATATTTGCAGACTATGAGTATTATATAAGGAGGCTGGGCCAAGAGAAAATAGGAAGCTTTCTTTTAAGGGTAATAATCCTTCTTCTTTAAAGTGACAGCATATAGGGTATTACCTGGGGGATGACAGCTCAGCCAGGCCTCCCCTTCATCCTTCCTATGAAGAAAGACAAAAGCTTAATTAGGCTCACCCAGAGTTGAACAGGATCCCATAGTTACAAGGGAAGAAAGAAGGTCATGTAACCTCCAGTTTGGTCACAGTACTTAGACATGAGCTAGTTCAACCTCTCATCAGGTATAGATCATTCTAAGACCGACAAACTTTATTTGTTCAAGAAGTATTTGTGGATTAACTATTTAATGAATAGATATCTGTTGGTTAAATTAATGCTCATCTATCAACAGTGAGCTCACTTTGAAAAATCAAGGTTATCTAATTAGATATTTATCAGGATTATTGTAAACCAAGCCCTGTGCTAAGCACTTTCCATATATAATCATTAACTCTCACAATAACCAAACAAGATTCCTTTTATTATTTCGGCACCTGCCCAATCATCCAAATCCTGATCTCTTCACCCTAGCACTTTTAGGGTCTAATGGAAAGGGTCTATGCTTTTAAGACAGAAAGATCTAGGTTGACAGTAACCTTCTATCATTTGACGAGATGCATGATCTTGGGCAAGTTAAGCCTTCTGATTCTGGTGCTGTACTTTCTCATAGGTACCTAGTGGCACTTCATGTTATTGTTCTTTACTACTTATCACATTCTGTGTACTAGCAACTAGTCTGTATTTTAGCCCACCTAAATTAAGTAAGGTATAAATTTAGTAAGATGAAAATTTCTTAAATGCAGAAGGCTGTTTCATTCATCTTCACCATTGTTTCAATTTGAAAAACTCTTATTAGCAGTAGCAGTTGACAAATATGGCACTGCTATATCCATCCTGATTCCTAGAGAAACAATTGGCACAGTATAAGATCAATAAACGTTTTATGAATGAATAGTTGGCTGTGTATTCCTACTTAAGATTTCAGCTTTTCTTTTTTTTTTTGAGATGACTATCGCTCTGTCACACAGGCTGGAGTGCAGTGGTGCAATCTCAGCTCACTGCAACCTCCACCTCCTGGGTTCAACCGATTCTCCTGCCTCAGCCTCCCGAGTAGCTGGGATTATAGGTGCCCACTCCCACACCCGGCTAATTTCTGTATTTTTAGTAGAGACAGGGTTTCACCATGTTGGTCAGGCTGGTCTTGAACTTCTGACCTCAAATGATCCACCAATCTCAGTTTTCCAAAGTGCTGGGATTACAGGCATGAGCCACCGCACCCGGCCTGGATGTCAGCTTCTTAAGAGCAGCAACCATCACTTATATTTAGAGTATACATCTGAGCTCCACCAAGCATCCAGTACGGGGCCTGGACATAGTGTTAGTTTCCTTAATAGTATCGTCCAGTATGCCCAATATAGCATTAGGGGCCTAGGAAAATACAAAGATTCCATCACAGGCACAAAGTGGTGGTGAGTACAGGGACTTCTGGAAATAACTGACGACTAATCAATATTTGCTAAATGACTGCTTGGCCAAGAGCCTTCCTGCCTTCCAGTATCCCTGTCTTTCTCCAACTCACTGATACTAATTCTGACGCGGGGATCACACAACTCATGTGCTCCCTTGGCCTGGGAATAGCTTTTCAGGGAATGACCATACGGGTTTGAGACTTCTTTTTCCGGACCCTGTTCCCTCCATATCCCTCAACAATTGATAACCCCTATTGATATCCTGGACCAGGTATGGCTCTCCTTGACGCAAAAGCAACATCCACTACCCTCCTCCTCTGACTCTGTTCTGGGCCTGGATTCACCTTAGGGCTTGCGCCCAGTCGCTCTGAATCCTCAAAGGCGCCGCCATCTCGACCCCGCCTCCACCAGCCCACCTCTTCCGCCCCTTCCCGGAAGTGGGTCCCCGAGAAGGGTGCGGGCGAGGACAGAGGGTGGGCTCAACACCGAGAGGCCACCAATGAAAACGTGCCTTTTTCACGTTCCCCGCCCCTTCCGTGTGCGCGCTCCCCACGAGGGGCTGGTTCCTGGAAGGATGGACAGAGGACCCTCAACCGCCCGCGAAGCTTAACCCGCCGCGTAGGAGCGTGTGTTCGGGCCCTCTTCTCCCACCTATTCGGTGAGCATCGCATACCGCGTTCTTCAGAAGGCGTTGCGGGCCCAAAGATGCAGCGATTAGCGGCCGCGCGCGCGCGCGCATGCGTCCTCAAAGTTCAAAGTCCGCGATGCCCCTGAGGCGCTTCAGGCCTCGTGGCTGCCAGCATTTTTCTGCTTTAAGAGCCTTTCCATGACTTCCTAGTTTAGGCCAGCCTCCACGATCCAGCTGCCAACCATCTAGCCTACCCTGATCTCTGAGCAGGGGTCGTCCTCATTTTACTCCGGAGACTGAAGCCAGAAGGTGGTGAGAGGAGAGTACAGTAGCATTTACTGAGTCCTGTTGTAGCCCAAGCACTTTTCATTCGTTAATCTTCATTCTATTGTGCGAATTAAATATTATTAATGGGGAAACTAAAATGAAAAAGTTTACATAGTAAGGCGTAGTGCTGGGATTCGAATACGGATCTCTTGGTTTAGGATCCAAGGCACTTTCCATTCCACTGTTCTTTCTCTAAATTATTTGCTGCTGGCCTGTTTAGGAAGAGAAAACTATCATTTATTGAACTCTTTGAAGTACTAACCTCCTTACAAACCTTATTTTTTTTTTTTTTTTTTTTTGAGACAGGGTCTCCCGCTGTCACCCAGGCTGGAATGCAGTGGCATGATCACGGCTCGGCTCGCAGTGTTGCCCAGGCTGGGCGCAAACCATCCTGCCGCCTCAGTCTCCCAAAGTGCTGGGATTACAGGCGTGAGCCATGGCAGCCAGCTTCATCTCTTTGTTTCCAGAGAGGTTATCAAATGACGTGTCCAAGGACACCAAATGAGGCAGTGACAAAGCTAGGTCCGAGTCTGTTTCAAAGCCCATTTTCCCCCTCCTGCTTAAGTTATACTGCCTCCAAGGCAAATGAGTTGTGTAAAGTGCCTAACTCCCTCTTGTGACTTCCCCATTGCCCTCAGAATAAAAAGTCTTAAATTCCCTACTATGTCCTACAAAGCCCACCAGTTTAATATTGTCTTGTTCTGATACTCTATTTTCCCATCACTGAACTTTTTTTTAGCTCTCATGTATCAGATTCTATCTTAACCACCTGCTCTTCCACTGACCAAAAATAGTTTTCCCATCTCTGGCTAACTTTTGTTCCATATGTCAAGTTTCAGCTTGGAAATCACTTCCTCTAGGAAGCCTTCCCTGCCTATTCCTGCCCTTGTCTGGATTAGGTATCCCTCCACTGTGGTCCCAGTCTTCGCTATCTGTACACTGCATAGTAAACTGCCCTGTCTCCTTGTCTAGGTTGTAAACTCCATGAAGCCAGGAACTTAACTGACTTAGACACTCTTGAATCCTCAGCACTAGCATAGTGCCTGGTACATGATAGGTACTTAATCATAGGTTGAGTGAATGAGAGACGCAGTAAAGGCAATAAGGAGTCCTTCTAGTTTCTTTACAGCCCATCATGGTGAAATTTTTGCAAAGGCTGAAGTCATTTCTCTTCAGACCTTAAGTTCCTTCTGTATGCTGCTTTCTGCTGAGTGTTCTGATGCAGATGGGCATGACCGTTTGGGCAAATAACTACATCTCACATTTTTGTATAGTTTACAAAGCCATCTCACCTTATAGATGCAGAGGCCAGGTTTCTGCATGCTGTATGCTACAGCCACACTGAACTCTATCTTTCCCATGTGCCAAAACCTACCTATATTTGGGCACCCTTTCACTTTGTTTTTTTGTTTGTTTGTTTTGGAGATGAAGTCTCACTCTGTCGCCCAGGCTGGAGTGCAGTGGTGCAATCTTTGGCTCACTGCAACCTCTGTCCCCTGGATTAAAGCGATTCTCCTGCTTCAGCCTCCCAGGTAGCTGTGATTACAGGCACCTGCCATCGTGCCCACCTAATTTTTATATTTTTAGTGGAGATGGGGTTTCACCATCTTGGCCAGGCTGGTCTTAAACTTCTGACCTCGTGCTCCACTTGCCTCGGCCTCCCAAAGTGTTGGGATTACAGGTGTGAGCCACCACATCCAGCCTCTTTCACTTTTTAAACTTTGTTCTTCAGCATAGAATAAGGCTAGTAGGATAAAAGAATGGTTATTTATTTATTTGAAACAGGGTCTCACCATGTCACCTAAGCTAGAGTATAGTGGCAGCATCATAGCTCACTGCAGCCTTTCAACTCCTGGGCTCAAGGGATCCTCCCTCTTCAGCCTCTTGAGAACCTGGGACTACAAGTGTGTGCCACCATGCCCAGCTAATTTTTAAATTTTTTTTCTTTCTTTTTTTTTTTTTTTTTTTTGAGGCCTCAGAGTTTCGCTCTTGTTGCCCAGGCTAGAGTGCAGTGGTGTGATCTCGGCTCACCACAACCTCCGCCTCCCGGGTTCAAACGATTCTCCTGCCTCAGCCTCCTGAGTAGCTGGGATTACAGGCATACGCCACCATGCCTGGCTGATTTTGTATTTTTAGTAGAGACAGGCTTTCTCCATGTTGGTCAGGCTGGTCTTGATCTCCCGACCTCAGGTAATCCAACCACCTCGGTCTCCCAAAGTGCTGGGATTACAGGCATGAGCCACCGTACCCAGTCATTTTAAAATTTTTTTGTAGAGATGAGGTCTTGCCATAACCCAGGCTGGTCTCAAACTCCTGGGCCCAAGGGATCTTCCTGCCTCAGCCTCCCAAAATGCTAGGATTACAGGTTTGAGCCATCATACCTAGCTGAAAGTTTAGTTCTTTTTAGGTAGATCAGAGATAGCTTATCTAAAAAGATGACATTTCACCTAATTAATATTCCAATAGCAAAATCCATTGAACTTACTGAATGTTATGTCAAGCATTCTTACATGGTTTATCTCATTCAGTTCAAACCACTTTGCAGGCCTGCTCTCGGCCAGGCCTGGTGCTGGAGGCATAAAGGTAAATCAAGACAAACATCAGCTGGGCACAGTTGGCTCAAACCTGTAGTCTCAGCACTTCAGGAGGCCAAGGCAGGAGGATCGCTTCAGCCCAGGGTTTTGAGACCATGCTGAGCAACATGGAAAAACCTTGTATCTATCAAAAAATCAAAAAAATTAGCTGAGTGTGGTGGTGCACACCTGTAGTCCCAGCTACTCTGGCTGGGGAGGGACTGAGGCGGAAGGATTGCTTGATCCCTAAAGATGGAGGCTACAGTGAGCCTGGGCAACAAAGCAAGACACCCTTAAAAAAAAAAAACACACACACACAAGCATCTGTCTGCAAGCTTAGAGTTTCCCACGGGAGACATAAACAGGCTGAACGGTGCAGTCTGGTCAGTGCTATTTATAATCTAGGAACCTTACATATTATATCCCCACTCTAACCTTGTCTCTGTTAATGTTCTATAGACTCTCCATCCCCAGGATGTCAACCTCAGCCCCTCAAGGCCATACCTGGACCCAACGGGTGAAGAAGGAGGATGAGGAGGAGGACCCGCTGGACCAGCTGATCTCCCGCTCTGGCTGTGCTGCCTCCCACTTTGCAGTGCAGGAGTGCATGGCCCAGCACCAGGACTGGCGACAATGCCAGCCACAGGTGCAGGCGTTCAAGGATTGCATGAGTGAACAGCAGTCGAGGCGGCGAGAGGAGCTGCAGAGGAGGAAAGAACAAGCCAGTGCCCACCACTGAGACCTCAAACCACCTATCCCCAGTAGATGGCCCTGCCAAGATCAGCACCCAGCAAGATAATAGAGGAAGAAATCCTAAATGCTGGGTGTGGGAGGTATAAAACATAGGGATAGTTTTTGGATCTGGAGTTGAGAGCCATGGGTTTAGACGTGACTGGCACAAACAGCTGTCATATGTTCGTGGTCAGATCTCACACATCCTCAGCTGTCTTGTTCCACCAGTATTTGCCAGGAAAACAAAGAATGTGGTAAGGGATGCTCCCCCACCCCACATCTTGGGTCAGTGTGCCAAGTACTGAGATGATTTTAGGGACATTTTATTTTAAATTAAATTCACAATCTAATGGTAAATTGATTACCTGATTAGTGCCTTACTCTTTCATCACTTGTTCTGGATGTTTCAGTCAGTTTAGTGGAAGGAAGAAAGCAAATGGGGAAACTTTTTATTCAAATATGTTTTTGTTTTGTTTTTTTGAGACGGGGTCTCTGTTGCCCAGGCTGGAGTGCAGTGGTGCAATCAGGGCTCACTGCATCCTTAGTGGGCTCAGGCCATCCTCCCACCTAAGCCTCTCAAGTAGCTGGAACCACAGGTGTGTGCATCACCACACCCAGCTAATTATTCAAATATTGAGTACCTATTAAATGCTAGATTCTGTTGAATTAACAGATACCGAGTCTGGCTTTAACCTGCTCCCAACCCAACAAACACACAAAGTTGGGCTAACATTTTTAAAGTATATTTAACACGAAAATACAGATTTTCAGCTTTTGAAAAGTGGAAAAGCTGTTAACATTGATTTTTATTCCCTCTTAACAATTTGCTGGAGCTGAATAACTCCCCCTTTTAGTAGGTTGTGTTTTCTGATTCAAAACAGTTGCATATCAATTCTCATTTTTCTTCAACAAAACTCTTCCATTCTATTCTATTCTATTTTTTTTTTTTTTTTTTTTTTTTTGAGATGGAGTCTTGCTCTGTCGCCCAGGCTGGAGTGCAATAGTGCAATCTCGGCTGACTACAACCTCTGCCTCCCAAATTCAAGTGATCCCCCTGCGTCAGCCTCCCAAGTAGCTGGGACTACAGGCAAGCAGTACCACACGCGGCCGATTTTTGTATTTTTAGTAGGGAACGGGGTTTCACCATGTTGGCCAGGCTGGTCTCGAACTCCTGACCTCAAGTGATCCACCCTCAGCCTCCCAAAGTGCTGGGACTACAGGTGTGAGCCACCACACCCAGAGAGTAACAAATATTGCTTCAGGATCGATCTATTAGAAGCCCAAATCTGAGGTATAGTAGGCCTTAAAATTTGCTTTGAGCCTTCATGCCAGTATCTGGGGAAGAAATAAAGAGAAAAGAGAGGAGAAGATAGGAGTTTAAAGAACAATCCTATTTCTGGATGAAGGGGATAACCAGGCAAATTATAAAGACAAATTGCTATGTGTGTGTGCTCAGTGCTCATTCATCAGAGAAAACAAGCAGTGTGCACTGGAGTTTTCAGCAAGAATCTCAAAGAAGAGAAGGGATGAGTTGAGTTGAACTTTTAAAGATGAAGTAGGGCAGACATGGTGGCTCACTTGAGGTCAGGAGTTCAAGACCAGCCTGGCCAACGTGGCAAAACCCCATCTCTGCTAAAAATACAAAAAAATTAGCCAGGCATGGTGGTGCATGCTGAGTATAATCCCAGCTACTTGGGAGTCTGAGGCAGGAGAATCACTTGAACCTGGGAGGTGGAGATGGCAGTGAGCCAAGATTGCACCACTGCATTCCAGCCTGGGTGATGGAGTGAGACTGTCTCAATAAATAAATAAATAATAAAGATGAAGTAGACATTACCTATTTGTAAATTATAGCAGAAAAGATTACCATCCAGAATAAAAAGTACCTGGAAGCCACTAAGAAGCACATAGTTGGATAGAAAAGTGAACAAATAAGGCAGGCGCAGTGGCTCACGCCCGTAATCTCAACACTTTGGGAGGCAGAACTGGGTGGATCACTTGAGATGAGGAGTTTGAGACCAGCCTGGCCAACATGGCAAAATCCTGTCTCTACTAAAAACAAAAAAATTAGCCAGGCATGTGCCTGTAATCCCAGCTACTTGGGAGGCTGAGGCAGGAGAATTGCTTGAACCCGGGAGGCAGCAGAGGTTGCAGTGAGCTGAGATCAAAAAAAAAGTGAACAAGCCACAAAACATAGAAAACTGTAAATATGCTCTACATCATGGATAATCAGAGAAATTTCGTTTTTGTTTTTGGTAGAGATGAGGTCTCAATATGTTGCCCAGGCTAGTCTCAAACTCCTGGGCTCAAGTGATCCTCCCACCTCAGCCTCTCAAGGTGTTGGGATTACAGGTATGAGCCCCTGTGCCTGGCCAGAAATGTTTTGTTTTTGTTTTTGTTTTTTATGAGACGGAGTCTCGCTCTATCGCCCAGGCTGGAGTGCAGTGGCCGGATCTCAGTTCACTGCAAGCTCCGCCTCCCGGGTTTACGCCATTCTCCTGCCTCAGCCTCCGGAGTAGCTGGGACTACAGGCGCCCGCCACCTCGCCCGGCTAGTTTTTTTGTATTTTTTTAGTAGAGACGGGGGTTTCACCGTGTTAGCCAGGATGGTCTCGATCTGCTGACCTCGTGATCCGCCCGTCTTGGCCTCCCAAAGTGCTGGGATTACAGGCTTGAGCCACCGCGCCTGGCCCAGAAATGTATTTTTATAAGACATATATACTATTAGGTTTATTGCAGCATTGTTTATACTAGTAAATGGTCCCAATGTCAATTTCCATCAGTAAGGACTCTGTGTATTCAAATCTTTTACAATAGGAATGTGTGTATTTTGTGTGAGTAAAAATAGTAGGCTATGGAGGAGGGGGTGATAGCAACAGAGAGAAGCATAAAAGGCCTCTTTAGCAGGAAGGATGGCTTCCAAACCAGCTAAGTGGAGCAAGCATGTTTTGGAGGACACTGGCTCTAATAGGGAGTTAAGCACGGTGTGGATCACAGAATGTATTTGATCAGGCAAAGAGGACTGTTGCCATACAAGCCTGTTCCCTCAGATAAAGGGATAATTCGTATGTCATAAGCCAAATAAATGAGGGAACGAAACATACATAGCTAATAATAAAAAGTGTTAAAATTTATTGGGCATTTAACTCAGACAGTCTGGTTCCAGAGCCTGCTCTCAATCCCAATGATGTGCTGCCTTCACATCCTAGTTATGCCACTTACTAGCTTTGTGACTTTGGACAAGTTACTTAACATCTCAGGATCTGTTTTTACCTGTGTAAAAATGCAAATATAGTACCTTTTTCACAAGCCTCAAAACTAATATAGGCCTTCCTCATAGGATTGTTGAAAGATTGAGTTAAATATTGGTTTAGCCAAGGAACAGCATCTGGCACATAGTAAGTGTTCAGTGAACATTAGCTATTACCATCATCACTATTAAGTGTGCTAGGACTGTCCTGAGTTACATTATCTAATCTAATTTCTAATCCTCTGAACATGGCATTCGCTCTCCTTTAGATGAGGAAATAAAGGTCAGACTGGGGATCAGACTCCCAAGCGTGTCTTGCTCTAAAGCCTAGGCTGTTTTCTACCCTACTCTCACAAGCATCTGGTGCCCAGTGCAGTGCTTAACACACAGTAGTGAGTAACCACATTGACTGTGTAAATATTACTTTGCTTTTGTCAGCACTTTGCAAAAAGGAAATTAACTTTTTGCAATTAATTAGTGCAAGTTGCCCACTGTGATATAGATTGGTATGTTTTTCTTTAGTCTCAGCTTTGCAGCCCACAGTCTAGGAGCTGGACTTTAAGGTGGTTCATACCTGTCCCTATAGGATCTAACTCTGGCAGCTTTGGGTTGCCTCTGCTTAGAGGCTTGGTGCCAGGGATGAGTGGAGAGACCTCTTGGCTTGATGTCTCTCTTGGCTAGGCCTAGGGCAGACTCATGGTTTAGCTCTTCCTTTCAAGGTCCTTGGCTGGGGACTTGGCCTTGTGCTTGGTACAAAGGTGCACTGCAATGCGTTTTACTACATGACTAAGAAGATACTCCTCCCACCCTCTCTCCATAAAGTTGCCAGACTAAGTCCTTGAGCTGCTGACTTCAGAAACCCAAAGAGAACTGAAGCAAGTCCAGACTGAATCCTTATATTTTCCTGTAGAAAATGCTGGGGCTCCCTTCTCGCTCAGCAAGGACTTAAAGCAAGCAGAGGAGGTAGCAGGGATGCTTCCCTGTCAGCAGCTATCTTTTGAAGGGTTTTCATTCTTCAGATCCTGGACACTCAATGGTGAGCTGATTTTCTTTTTTTTTTTTTTTTTTTTTTTTTTTTTTTTTTTTGAGACGGAGTCTTGCTCTGTAGCCCCGGCTGGACTGCAGTGGCCGGATCTCAGCTCACTGCAAGCTCCGCCTCCCGGGTTCACGCCATTCTCCTGCCTCACTCAGCCTCCGGAGTAGCTGGGACTACAGGCGCCCGCCACCTCACCCGGCTAGTTTTTTGTATTTTTAGTAGAGACGGGGTTTCACCGTGTTAGCCAGGATGGTCTCGATCTCCTGACCTCGTGATCTGCCCGTCTTGGCCTCCCAAAGTGCTGGGATTACAGGCTTGAGCCACCGCGCCCGGCCAAGCTGATTTTCTAAAATGAGCTGAAATGTCTGAGAATGAAAGTTATTCCAGAGGGATTATTATAGTCAAATGAATCATTTCAGATTGCGGGAAGATCAGACACATGAAAACAAAAATTCACAAAGAGATCAAAGTACAGATTAAACAAGCACAAGACACATTGGCTACCTCTGTATGCAGTGTCTCTCCATCAGGATTAGTTCTAGGCACACCCAATACAGGCTCAGAAAGCTTTCCTTAAGTACACTAGAAACAGAGGGGACCCAGGGGCCTCAGCATTGCTAGTATCTGAGTGACCAAAATACCTAGATTTGTTTGAATGTGTCTAAAACATACCTTTTCAGAATCCACAGCTGGCCATTTCCAGGCTTCCATGGTGGAGGAACAAGTCATCCTCAGCCAGAGGAAAGGGACAAAAACATGAAGCTGAGGAATCTGCTGGCCTCAACTAGGAAAACTGCCCATTTTACCCAGGCATCCTATCCTTCTTGAAAGTTAGTGATCTGGCCAGGTGTGGTGGCTCACACCTGTAATCCCAGCATTTTGGGAGGCCAAGGTGGGTGGATCACCTGAGGTCAGGAGTTCAAGACCAGCCTGGCCAACATGGTGAAACCCAGTCTCTACTAAAAATACAAAAATTAGCCGGGTGTAGTGGTGGGTGCCTGTAATCCCCAACTACTCAGGAGGCTGAGGCAGGAGAATCGATTGAACCTGGGAGGCAGAGGTTGCAGTGAGCCGAGATTGCG